CCCCCTCTTCTCCTCAACCTCACTCTCACCCCCGATAGGAAAGAAACGAGCATCCATCTCCCTGTGTCTTGTGTGTACGTGTGGTGTGTGACCTACCAAAACAACCGGGGTCCCGAGCCAGGTGGCCCGCTGGGTATGGTCGCGGTACTCGTCCAGCTCGCGGCCCTGGGCGTCGACGGTGTTCGGGTGCAGCAGGGCGCTCAGCGGGCCGCGGTTGATGACCAGCCACGGGATGAAGGCGCCGAACTGGGCGGGCGTGAAGAGGTTCACCTCGAACATGGCGATGGGGTGCGGGCCGATGGGCTGCTCCCAGAAGGTGTAGATGCGGAGTTCGGGGACTGGGTGGCATCCGGGTTTGTTAATTATTGGGTTTTTTGGGGGGAAGGGGGCGGGGGTTTGAGTTGGGATGGAAACAGAGGGAGAGAGAGCTGATTTGAGAATAGAGGAGGATGAAGGGAAGAAGGATGAGACGGGAATGGGAGTAGGAAGGAGGGAGTAATCGTACATTCGAGACGGATCCTCGTCCAGAGCTCTTTGGCGAACTGCAGTTGTTCAGGGTTGGCCTGGAAGTAGTAGATGTGGACGTCGCTACGAAGGGTGCCCGCTCTCCATTAGCGTCGGCCAGCACTTTTCTTTTTCTTTCTCCCCCTTTCTTGCTTCGCTTTGCTTTCCCACCTCGTCTCGTCGGGAAGAAGTAGGTGAGATGGGGGAGGGGGAGGTGGAAGGGAGGAGGACGTACAAGGCGCCTCGGATGCCGTTGTCCAGGGGCTCGGTGAAGCGCTCGTAGCTCTTACTCAGGATGCCTGTCTGGGGGTTTGCGATGCCTGTGATTGGGGGGCGGATCAGTCAGTCAATCTTCCTCTTTGCTTCTTCTTCTTTTTCTTTGTGTATCTCTGGTTTCTAGCCGTGGAGTTGGTAAAGGGAGTGAGTGGGTGGTTTGGGGGATTCTTTTCTTTTCTTCCTTTCCTTTCCATTCCTTTCGTTCTCTCTTGGCCGTTTTGTATTTTGTCTTGTTTTGTTTACTTACTCTTTCCATCCTCAGCCTTCTCGTTGGGGAGAAGAGTGGCGTCCTCGTAGCCCGCTAGCGGAGAAGGGTAGGTGTAGAGTGAAGGGTCTGCCATGGCGTCTTCTTCTTCTTCTTCTTCTCCTCCTCCTCCTCTTCTCTTCTGGTCTCTCGCCTTCTGGGTCTTCGCTGTGGGTGTGAAATAAAAGGCCAGTTTCCTCTGGAGGGAATTGGGTTGTCGTAAGCGAGGGGTTTATTTTTTTATATATATGTCGGCTCCCACTACGCGGGGTCGCTTCCGTCATACTGTACCTAAGTATCCGAGTCATGCGATCCGTCAGCTTTCTTTCGGGTCGGAAGACGTGTGTGGGACCCGGAACATGTTCGCTTTTAAACTTTCTTTATTCGTCTCCTTCTGCTTCTTCTTCTTCCTCTTCTTCGGCTTTCGCTTTCAGCCAATTGTGAATGTCACAGTAAGCTTTGGAAGGTCGTCATCTTCGCTTTGTTCTCCTTAGTCATGCGGTATGAGCGTATCAATCCTTACCTGGCTTATCCCGAGTTTCTCTTACGAGAGGAATGCGTCTTCCCCCTCTCATGCATGTACAATCTTACAGTTCAATCTCGTCGAACAAGCTTTGCTTACTAGAAATGCAGGATTGCGCTTCTAGAAGAGTAAAGCTGTCTGAGCTCGATTCCGGCAGGTCGAAAGCTGGAAGAGGTCAGCCAGCCAGCCTTACCGATCACGGCCGTGACCAGTTTCTCAAATGCAGGAGTCGGATTGCCCGCAAGCGAGCGGGGAATACCAGGACTGGTTCAGACCAGATGGTTGGTTTTTGGCATCGTATAGGTATTACTACATATACTACTACCTATGCATTCCAAGATCCCTCATATCCTGGCAGCTTGGGGCAGGCCGTATACCCTGAGAGCTACCATATCCTCTGGTTTAAATGAGACCTTGGCAAGCCGTGCGCGGTCGGGTCACTAAGGTAGAGAAGCGGGGAAAAATATGACTTAGCGAGCAGAATCCAACGTCGAGAAATTTGTAAAGGTCAAGAATTTAAGCGAATTTGAATCTTTTCGTTCCTTTTTTGATTCTATTTTGTTTTAATTTTAATTTAATAATTAGATTTGAGTATCAAGTGCAATCAAATTTACACTTTCCATTACCTACGATCAGTCTTTATATTCAATTTCATCTTCACATACGTATACGAGCTCTTTTGCAACTGCTTCGTACTTTTTTATAAGCAATTTTTGATTTTTTGGTAGCTCCTTTTCCTCAACCTCAATATTTTTTTTCGCTCTCTCTACGAGCTTTATGAAACGATCTTAGCATATCAGTTAATTCGGCGTTTTTGTTTATCGCAAAGCTCCGAATAATGCGCTCTTTTACTAGATCTATTAGATCTCTTTTCCGCACTTGCTCGTATTCGTTAATCTCGATCCCGTTTTGATATACGTGTATATTCGGTCCGATATGAGTTTGTAGCTTATCTATCGTCATAGATTTCTTTCTTATTCGTATTACTAGGTACTCTCCCCTCCCCCCACCCCCCACCCCAAATTGCTACAGCTTAAGGGTGCCTCAAAAGTTTAAATTTCCACTTTAAACCCTTTGGTTACCTCACCCTCAAGGGTTTGACAACTACGCGCGCGACGTAATAGGTACTTCAAGAACAAGCTTATCGTCACTTTATTTTCTCTTTAAAACGCTTTTAGCGGCGCTTCGTCTAAAACTAAACCTAGCTGAAAAGCTACAAACAAGTATTTTTTAAAAGCAGTTCTAATACTTCTAGTTCTAGTAATTCTGATAGAGTTCTGAAGATAAGCAAAGATATGTTAGCATATCAAGACATAAGAGCAATGCAATTCTATTCACTTTAGCTGCTCAAACGCTACGGTATGGATTTTCGATACTTGGCATTTATAAGTCATCAAGGCCTGCCAATCGGCCACTTGTCGCCGTTGCCCGTCTCTGCCGCGCACGGCTTGCCAAGGTCTCATTTAAACCAGAGGATACGGGTACGTCCGCCAAAGCGCCAGACCTACCTAGGTACCTACCTATCCCATCATTCTGCATCGACGATCGTCTCGTCCCTCTTCCGATGAAGCGCGTACCGGTAACTCTGGACGACCCCGTGAACAAATCTCGGGCCCGTAGTAAGCAAGCCCGAAAGCCAAATCCGGATTTTGCGACTTGCAAATTGGGTTAGGTCTCCTCTAGAGCAAGGAACAGGCTCGCGGATCTAGTGGCATATACTACGTAGTACAACGACGCAAATGCCAGCACGTTTTCGCCGAAATATCGAGTACCGTCTATCATACGACTCTTGATATTTCGGCGAATTCGAGTTTAGCACCTCTATGCAGATAGGTACCATACGGGGTATACGGGTATGTACCTACCAATAACGCCTTGCAGGCTCGGAGAGTCAAGTGCGACGAGAGAGACAGAAGCCGGATTGCCTTCGTTCGGTACCAGAAGTTGGGACGTGAATGCGACGGCTAGACATTTACTCCCGAAACACCACTTCCCCGTGGCTTGCCCGCCAACAACTCCAGCCTCGGATTCTATCTGCTACTTTCTGTGGCTCGAGTAGGTCTTGTCTTGTCTCGTCTACCGTATCTACGCAAGCCAAGAGGAGCATAGATAGATAGATAGATAGAAAGATAGATAGATTGATACTCTCAAGTATGTAGTGAGCGGACTACCCGTGAAAACTTTCTGGCTTCTCCATCCGATCTTACCTTCTGGACTTGGCTTGGTTTTTTTTCTTTTCTTTTTCTTAACACAACGGAGCCACAATGTTGCTGCTACCATTAGATATGCCGTCATTGCACTTGGGTGCCCTCAACAGAAGCCTGGTTGGTGAACTGACGTACGGTCGCTCTCGACCCGTTTACTACCCACGAAACAGCCAGGCCATATTTCTGATGGAGGAAGGGTAATCCTTCTTGTATGGGAAGTAGAATCACGTCGGTTGGTATGCATCACGGAACGACATCTGAAAACAAAACGAGGAAGAAGAGAAGAAGCATGAAAGTGTGTACTGCGCAAATATAGCACGTGTGCCTGGCATGAAAGATGGTTGGAATCCGGAGGAAGTCCGAGAAGATAGATAGCACATACCGATACAAACTCACCAAAAATCACGGCGGGTAATGAAGTGCTCGTCTACGCCAAAAATTACAATGTTTTATGACTGGGCGGAATGGGGACTACGGACGAGGTTCCGATGAAAAGGGTCAACTATCTCACTTTTGAGGACATGTCATATCGAAAACCGAGCATAGTGCTCCATAGCTGCTACACTGCTTAGCTATGACTATGGTCATCTCATCATTATGAGGGCAATCCCTCCCCACCATGAGCGTGTCTGCCCGTCATCACCTTCCGCACCAAGCCCCACCCTATCTAGCAAGTAAAGCTCAGAGACATGTCGACCGCAGAAATGCAGAACGACGTCCATGAGCCAGGTACGTAGCCAGAAAATCGAAGAAACCAGGCGGACGAAAGACGAATTCAAAACCCCGTAGTAAACACCATCCCATTTTTGTATGCAAAGGAACCCCTTACTGCGAAACTGCTGGTGTGGAAAACACCCCATTTGCGACGCCAGTGCTCCATAATCAAACATTTATAAAAGTCACCCCGACCCAATTTCGTTATTCGTTTGGCCTGGCCATACACTCTGCCCTCTCAGTCTTGGTTGAGCAGCGTGAAATCGACCCAGCTTTTGGTGATCGTGGGAACAGGATCCTTGCCGGGTACCTTCGAGACCTGATCGACTTTCTCCATCCAGCCAACGATCTCCCACTCCTTACCATTGCACTTCCGCTCCTCGTTGGAAACATGTGGGGACTCGAGAGCCTTGATGCGACGCTTCTCACGTTCACCGACGACGGCCTTCATGACTTCTTGTCGGAGAGTAGTGGTGGCCCAACCTTGAACGTTGCCCAAATTCGGGGATTCAAGCACACATTTGATGAGGTCGTATGGAAGATTGATCAGAAGCCTAGAGAGCGTGGCAGTGGTAGGGTTCTCGGGATTAGACCGAAAATGCTCTTCGGATGGGTGATCTCCAAACTTGATAGAGCTAAGGCGAGAGTTTTGGCCAGCTTGAGGAACGAGTGGGAGTCGGCGATGGTTTGCTAGCTCTCCAACGGAAGTGTCCAAAGCGAATCCAGCAGGGAAGTTTGAGACGATGAAATGCAAGATGTGGTGAAGGAAGGAAATGACACCAGAGCCATAGGTGGGCACAGAGTGCTGAGAATAAGGAGTCCCGGTCCCGGCTGTGAAGTGAGGGTGGAGGCCACCATCGATTGCAAGATCGATTGCCCTCTCAATGGTGTGCCAGCTGAGCAATTGAGCGGCAACTTCCATTCCACGGTTGCAGATGTTTAGCATACCGAGAAGATTACCAGCTGCTGCATAACCGAGAGCAAATCCAAATGGATCAGCCGGTGGGTTCTCAAAAGGAGAACAGGGGTAAGCTCTGCTGGGGCCGTTCTCCAGAAGTGGTGCTCCGTAGAGTCGTTGAAGTGCCAACCAGAGAGCGTCTGAACGCAGGAAGCGATCTTCAGACTCGACCAGAAGTGTTGGGAGTGCCTGACCATCGTGACCTTCACAAGCCTGCATAAGAGTCCGCAGCACACCACTTTGGGCGAAGAGAATGCCATGTCCAGGAATGCGTAGTGGTGGAGCACGGTTATCGGAGTAGCGAAGCTCAAATATGTAGTTCGCGAATTCAGGTCTGCTGAATTGAGATTGCAGGTAATAGTGCCATGAATCAAGCTGATCAGGGAAGTAGGTACCAAACGGGGCAACAGGTGGAGGGATGAACTTTGGTCGTGCATTCTGCAGGAGGCGAACATCTTCAATGTGACCATTGCTACCGTTTGAGATGACCGCGGTGGGGTATTGACTGTAGAAGGCCGGACCACTATCTTGTTCATTGGCAGCCGACGATTGAGATCCATGAAAGCTGTGCGGAGTCGACGGATCTTGGCTCATACGCTGCTGGTCACCTATGGGAGCTGTAGAAGAGGAGAAACCATCTGACATTCCATATGGTGGTGGTCGACGAAAACCAACGAGGCCATCTTCACGTGGAAAGAATCCTGGGGGAGCCGAAGGCGTGCCATTGGAATGGTAGCCATTGGATATAGTATGAGCATGACCGTTGGTCGGGAACTGAGATCGATATCCGCCATCAGCAGAAGCGGCCATCTGGGGGTATTGTTGTGGGTTGAATTGAGGAGGTGCTGGAGAAGATCTCGCCGACTCAGGAAAGCCACCAAGCATGATAGTTCCACCATTAGGCTGCAGATGGTGTGTTGGGTAATGCACATCTAAGTACAACTGGTTGTAAGAGGCCATGTTGCTACCATTGGTTTGGCTTTGGTTCGCAGGGACAAATGCGGGAGGCATATGGTAAGTCGACCGAGACGCAGAGGATTGACCTTCGGATGGAGGTGACATCGAGGTGGATGTCTCTCGCACATCTTCTGTTTTGAGAGTCAATAATGTTCGAGACCAAGGCCGCACATGAGTTTGTGCTTGCTTACCAAGGGTTCCTTCTTGGACGGTGACCTTTTGGTTCTTCGGAGCAGCATTGTGTTCCTCCTCCAGCGGTGCAAACGGTGTAGTGGCTACAGATAGAGGAGTAGTAGCTACGGATGGCGATGCTGGTTCAACTACCTCCTCCTCTGCCTCTGCCTTCTCAGAAACCTGTACGTCGGATGAGCCATTGGCAATAAGTGGCGTAATTTCGCTGTCGGGGGGTGATAGAGATCGGAATTCCTGGAAGACAGGAGGAGAGGCGGCAGCTTGCTCTCTAGATCCAGCCCGGGCTGCCTGCTGCTGCTGACGCTTTTGGATATACGACAGCGGGATAACAGGGACAACGGGTCGGGGGCGAGGGCGATTCTGCTGAAGGGCTTTCGCAGCGACAGTTGCGGGGGCCATGATTGGGGAGGGGGGGGTCGACGATAAAGTCGATAACAGTAGAGTTGTGGATGCTGTGTTGTGCAGCAAAGGCCCGACCTTGCCTTGCCTTGCCAGTGCTTGTTGTTGTGCCTGTGCCTGTGCCTGTGCCTATACCGATTTAGCTGCGTTACTTTGACTTCGAGACGTCCCCAAGATTAACATAGACCAACGAGCTGGACATGTAGCCTTTGGGGAGTCGTTGTGCAAGGCGGTCGGGAGGGGCGTGCGACTTTGTCGTGAGGAAGAGATGATGAGAAAAGGCTCCGTAGAAATTACTTCTCACCCCGCGAAAGCTTCGAAAGCTAGTCCGTTTTCGGTCTGGGCGTGGCACGGTGGAAGCCACAGCTAAGCAACTACGGAATCTCTTCAAGACCCGAGTTTGACGGTGATTGCGTGCAGAATTGATCCTGACCAAAGGTGAAGCTGTATCGCTAAAGTGCAGGTAAATTTACGAGCTATGAGTTATGAGTTATGAGTTATCTACCACTTCCAACGGCTCTGCTAAGATATCCTTTATATGCATCAACTTCTGCGCTACACATAGTCACACTCTCTACTTCGGGACATTCTTCTTGTTGCAGGTAAAGAATCGGCCATCATGGCAGAAGTAAAGGGCAATCAATATGAGAATCTTCTTAGAAACCTCGTGTAGCAGCCAACCACCGACACAAAACCATTAGCAGCAGCAATACTATCCTGGCCTTCGCCAGCGCAGTCCTCGTAAGACCAAAACCTCGAATGCAACAACCACTTCGTTATCCTCTCCTCCCTTTCAGATGATGCTACTTTCATTTCCAAATCCAGTCTTCAAATGTTCAATTTGTTTTTCTCAAGCATTACTAACTAACCACCTCACTTCCTCTTCTCAGCCCTAATTTCGCTTGGCTCTAACCAGAAGCACAAAGCTACGGAAAAGAAGGGGAGGAAGAAAAAGGAAAAAAAAATTCCGTCTTGGAGGTTCGCACCCGCCTCCCCAAAAAACAGAAAAATAAAATGTATAGCTCCGCTACGGGGAATCGAACCCCGGTCTCCGCCGAACATCGACTGTATGAAACAGTGCTGAAAAGGCAGTATGCTGACCGTTACTGGGAATCTTGTTAGATCAAGATTTGTAGCGAAAGGAAGAGATGAACTCACCACCATAGCGGATTCACCTGTTTGATGTGCCACTGGCACTGGCGCAAGGTTATAATACCTATGAAACTTTGACGGATATTCATCGGAAGAGAGCTTCGGTAAAGACTACATTCCTCCTAGTCGTGCCTTGGCAGAGTGCTCGTGAACGCTGGTTTCTCTATAATATCTGCATCAAGATAGTAGATGTAGTACCACATCAATAGTAGTCTTGAATCAACGACCCATTCCATGAGATTTTCGATTCATTCTATACGTCTCTCTATGAAACCTCTACGTATCATGTTATCAGTATGGGCAACTTCTACGTGCATGCAGATGGGCAGGTATTCAAGAATAGGTGCTAGCTAATTTGCGGATTACCAACAATAATACTTCTATTACCCCTTGGAGAACTCGTAATAATTGAAATGACGTTGCTACTCTACTTCTCGACTTCGATTACGAGAGATCAGCATTGATGGTTAGATTGTTCGTCTTATTTTCATCAAGCATGATGCTGAAAGTTGCAGGAGATCGCATTCGCATTCGGTTTACAAGTCTTCAGCCACGCATAAACATAACTCGTTCCGATCGGGTACAACGGTACACACGTCACTACTGTGCACACGTGTGGGATAAGACAATAGTCCTTGTATATTCTCTTTGAAGAACCAACCAGTTTCAATGGCCCAGCAATCCGTATTTCCCATGGTTGGTGACATCGCGCATCGTGCATCGCCAACTACCCTACGGCCTTGCGGGACCCCCAGTCGCAACCGACCCTTGGAGGGGATTGCACGTCCGTCCGCATGAGATGCTCATGACAACTTTGACAAGGCTCTGGACGCACTCGACTCAAATGCAAGGATCGATGCCCAATACAGCGACATCCGCATCCTTCATACCTACCGGTATTCGTATACTTTCTAGTACATAGTACCCATACTCTCGCCCGCCATTCTTTTGCCAGAAAGATTATTCTGGTCCACGTCCCCTTTTCCCTTTTCACAGTGAAGTCAAGTTGACAACACACTATCGAGGGGCACAGCCTTCTCCTTCACTCCATCCACATTTTCGAGTCTTGCGCGCGCGACGCTGGATTCCGGACAGAGCTGGAGCCATGGTAACAACCCCAAGGCCCTACATATTAATCAGGACATAGCTAAAACGCTGATAGGGAGCCTGCTGCTCTGCCCCGGCCGGATCCTCGGAACCCCCACAGCGACCGAATGATCCCAATTCCTCCTCCCATGCCATAAACACCACGCAACCTGTCAATGCCTCACATGGCATGCTGGCTACTCGATCGTCGACGAATGCCTCGAATCACAGCCCGCCCACAGCCACGTGCCATGATCATGGATCTGGTCGTCATGCCAATGGTCTGAAACCGCTCGTCTGGGAGAGCAAGAACCGTACATGGACTCGAAGCCAAATTGACGAGGAACGCATTGCTTTCTTCGATACCCGGGTTACTGGTAAAGACCAATTATGGCAGGTACTACGGGCAGCTCTCGAAATACTGTGGAGTGAGGGAGGCCCAGAGGATACAGACGGAGGGCTGGCGACCGCATCATCCATGTTGGACGCGGCTGGATTCGTTCACACCAATGGCCAGCTGAGCCCAGTAGTTTGGGATTTCAACGGCGAACGTTATGAAATCCCTCCGGAAATCGTATCCTATCCAACTAATCTTGTAGATGAGAGCGGAGACATCACCGACGAGAGCGAAGATGAACTTCGGCAAGAGAAGGGTAAGGCGGTGCTCGATCCCAATGATGAGATCAAAGTCAATGTGAAGTAGGTGATACAGTTTCTCAGTCATAAGGCCTCCCGCATTTATTCAATCCTCTTCAAGCAAGCTCCACAAGGTACTGACTCTCTCGTGCGTTTTTCAGGCTCAGTAATCGTGGCGAGGTACCACTCATGATCACCATTCTCAAGCAAGATGTAAGTCAAGTGTGATCTTGATTTCTCAAGCAAATTTTGACTTTGGACAATCAGCCCGTGCGACTGGTGACCAAGACAATACTCGAGAAAGCACAAGTAAGTTTTTACGCTCTCCATGTCTCGTAAATCTAGCTCATGTCCATCAACCAGCTTCCTCCGACAACGAATCTCAAGATCATCTACCTGGGCAGGCATTTGAAGGATGAGAAGAAGACGCTGATGGCTCACGGGTGGAACGGAACGTACCCTCTTCAGGCGATGATCGTGGGCTCTATCCCGGCCGCGCCCGAGGAGATCGGAGCTTGACATTCGATTTAGATATTACCCCGAACCTGGGTGGACTGGGCTTGAGCTGAGGCGTGCAGATTTTTGTTTTTCTTCAGGGACTGGTCTATACCCCGGCGTTTGGTGAGGCTTTAGGATGATGGATAGATACCAATTTATCTCCGCATCTGTTTCGTGCATTCAGAGAGCTTGCACAGGTACACGGTCTCTTTATGTCAATGTTCAATGGTTTCTACCAAAAATACTTCACACGGATGTGTTGTACTATAAATGAAGCTTTGAATCTCGACTGAACGGGCCATTCTCACTGCGGACTGCAGCAATGTCGCGGCCCGTACCTTTGAGTTTCTGATAATTGAATAGCAAGTGTTAAATAACCCGTTGGCACAGATCATGGGCGAGGACGACGGAACCAGGTGTTCGTTAAAGCCTGCGGGTTTTCATAGCGACGGCACCATTTGTTCTGCGGGAATTTACAGTAACATATCATGCAGAGATGCTTGATCACGTTATTTTGATCAAGATCAAGGACGTCACTTGTAGCAGCATCACAACAGGAAGCGAGTGTAGAAAATGAGGCGAGAAAGTAGTTTTTCAACTGTGCTAAAAATGTTCTTCGCCCGATCCACATCCCTCAATTGCAACTTGCACATGTGTCCTAAGAAGAGTCAGCTGGAGTCTTATGCCATGTGGTCAGGTTGCTTGAGGGTCTTGAGCAACTATCTCAGTTCTCCAAGGTAAATGGTTGTCTCTTCAATGTGTTGGCTCGGTAAAAACAGCAGTAAGGGTTTTCATCATAGTTGAAGGGCGGTGTAACGGGTGATAGCAAAGACGGGGAAGCTCACACTTGACACGAAGCTTGAAATTTTTGCTGTGGGCGCAGATCTGGTGGAACCAACGTCAGCGAGGTTATACTTTCCAACATTTGAGGCTCTCGTAGTGACGTGTAAAGATCCAAAGCAAGTTTCAGGCTGATAGAGGGTTAGCTGAATGCTATAGGATTGGGGGGTTGGGAGAGCTCACCTCATTAAATCAGAATTTTGTATGTACGTTCATCTGCAAACAAAGTTTGCTCAAACAGTGTGAATAACAGTTTCATCATTTGATGCAGTGGTCTTGTGGAGAGTGTGGAGGAAAATTGTTGAAGTATACCTAAACAGGGTCGCGTTAGCATCGTGTAGTCGCCCCTAGCGGTCCTCTGCGAATTCCACAGTCATCGTGCAATTATCAGGTGACGAGTTCTCAACAAGCACTTCCAGCTAACTACCCTCACAAGGTTTGTACGCCCTGTTTTTGATGAGAGCAGCACCGGAGTGCGCAGTCTGTCCGCCCGTTCGTTCAAAGTTCATCATGGTGTGTAGTGTAGAGACAAGATTGAAGGAGGATGTATGTACCTATGATCGGTGATTAGCAGGGTCCATTAAAGATCTGTCAATTGGTCTTGAGGAGAAGTTGAAGGGTCAGACAAGGCTGAAACTTAATTTGACAGTATCTAACATGCATATCTTCAGAATGAGGAATTCCTATTATGTCGAGTGATCATCACCCCCTCCTAGGAGAACGAAAAGAAAACGAGAAAATTTGTACCACGAACCTTTTATTTGACGAGCCGAGAGTGCGGCGGCAGTCGATTGGGGAAGGCAGGGTGCTGCTGAATGGTTAGCATAGGCTCTGATCGATGGCACAGGTGTTTAAAGCTGCCGTGCTGCGCATCTTGACTCAGAATGATATATAGGAATCCCCATGGTGTCATGTAAGAGTTGGATTGTTCAAAATTTATAACTCTCATCATCGGACGGATTGGCAGCAAACGCGAGAGCATTCGGAGAGGGGGAGGCTTACAATTAAGCAGTCGCACAGAGCTGCTGGTGCATACTCACAGTGAGTGTTAACGAATTGTCAGGAGCAGAAACAAAGTGTCGTGTCGACCGTGGAGTCGAGAAAATGACTTGGTTGCTTGGGAAAGAAAAAATTGCTGGTTGAGCCTCTGGGTCGCAGAGTTTTTCTAGTTCTTAGCGCGGAACCTTTAGCGCTAAGCCGGGGTAGCTAGCTCAGTGTTGATCTCGGTCACGGGATCAGACCGGCACGTGCACATGCATAATTATATCGCAAGACTGAAATGGCCATCCAACGCATCTCGCTATCGTGGGATTATTATCTGAAGCTATAGCACATCCGTCACCAAAGGTCAATTGCACTTCGTGCTACGACAGCGATTGGCAATCAAATATGGGGAGTCATTTCAATTCGATCATGAACTATTGATCGGAAGACGTTGGCATAATGGGAAGCATTTGTGGATGCATGGAGCTGTCTGGTGGATCCGGAAGGCGACACTACCGGTAGTACAGTAAGTTGGGGTGGCGTTGCATGGCCACAGGATTCGCCACATGCCCAGGTCAGACTTCAAAGATCCCTCAACTTCCTCAACTTCCTCGACTTCCTCGACTTCTTCTCCATTACATTTGCAGGACAAGATAACACTCGACAACTTTTTCCTATCATGGCGCCGGCAGGAGGCATATTTGCCCCCTTAGCCATGGGGGCACTCAAGTAAGCTTACCAGTCATCCTGGAATACCAAGCATCTACGGTACTCCGTCCTGGCTGCCCCGCATTTGCTGACGATATAATAGACGTGCCTTCAAAAAGACGTCCAATTTGATAAAGATTCGTTTTGCGGAAATATCACCAACTAGTAAACTACGACCAGTTCTTGTGCGAAACTCTCCCCGACATCCTCTACATCCAGTCGCAGCTCTTCGTCAAAGTAAGGGAAGATGGTATACGACCCACAGCACTACCAATGCGGCAGGCCGTCGATTCATGAGCAGTGGCCCGGCTCCAGGAACAAGAATCAACCGAGCAGCTTTCCCCAAATCCATAACGGCTACCGCTGTTTCAAGATTGACAACACGGGCTCCATTCTCATCGACTCTTCGACCCAACCTTACAGGAGGAACGCTTCCAAGAACCTCTGGTGGTTATAGCTTGGGAGGAAGTCGCCCTGGCGGAGCTCGTTATTTCTCGCATGGTCCAGCAGCACCAGCTCAAGTTGTGAACAATGTATCCGCGGCTGTCCGAGCTTTCTGGCTCTCTGGTCACAAGGCTCAATTTGATGGCATGAATCCTGCTGGGGAGAAGAAATACCGTGGCATCAGCACTCTTCAGGACAAGATCACCCAAAAGATGCAGTCAATCCCCAGAGCTTCACCAGGCTCCTACATCGATTTCTACGTCAACCCAAAAGTAACTGCCCTTTCCCCCCCGGGTGCCGCTTTTGGCTCTAAATTGCCCGTTGCCGAGACCAATCTCAATACAGAGGGCTTCTTGGATGTCCTCTCCGTCGACTTCGCTCGCGTCTTGAAGGATCTTGCTGCTACCATGAATGACCTGAAACGATTATCAAGTTTTGGTGATCTCCCGATCACGTTAGAACAGAAATCTATCCTCCGGGTCCGTTTCCCGGGATGTGACGCCGAGTCCGTAGAGCGACTATGCGATGAAGTTGGAGTCCAGCGAGGTATTATTTGCCAAGATGAAGAATTTAACGACAGTGCGGGAGCACAAATGGCCCTATTGTTCCCATATGCACCAGCTTCGGAACATACTCTTTCATCGCCAGGCGGCTCCCTTCGATCCCAAACTGGCAATGAGCTTGAACATGAATACGAGTACGATGATTTCCAAGAGGACATCATCGAGAACCCATGGGTCGAAGGCTACGAGAGCCTCGAGGACTCCAGTGACGGCGAGTCTGTGTATTTCAGCAAGCAAAGCTCGCCACACGACTCATCCGACTACGAAGGACTAGAAGGAATATACCGATTTCTGGAGCAATGCGACAATAATCGACGGATCTAGCCTTCTAATAATTTTTTTTTTTTTGCTTTTTTTATATGCTTTATGGGTTACGCAAGCGATTTGGGCCACTTCGGGATCAGGCGAAATTTACTAAGGGGCAACCCGGACTTTGATTGACAATATGCCTGGGAAGGAACGGTATATTGGGGATACACTCGTTGTATTGTAAATTTTCCTGCATTGGCCTTCTGCCTATGAACACACATACACACTCTTTCGATCCCGAAATTTGTCGAAATTATCTTGCCAGTGGGACTTGGAAGTAGGAAAGTGTATTTAGGGGTATCGCTTTACGAATCTCGAATTCTCCAATGTTCTCAGATTTTGCAGGACGTTCGCTAACTTCGAATTCGTAGCACTACATGGTCAAAAAAAGAGCCGCAGCCACAGACTTGGCGGGCCATGCATTTTATTTGGTTTCACATGTTCAGCAATCAATTGCTCGAAGTAGGGCACTAGCACCTGCTAAATATCCACACCTCACAACAATCACCATCATCAGCAACACAAGTCTGGTATAGCCAGTGAATTGTCCAGTAAAATCACCATCCTACCTCAGCCATCACCAAAAATCTACTCATCATCCCCGAAGAACACCTTAATCGGCAACCAGGCGTCCCCACAGACCTTGAACCGATCCTTCAGCCCATCTAGCTTAGTAACCTCCGCCGGTGTCAGTTCCCAGCCATCGAGCTCAAAGTTGGCCTCGATTCGCTCCTTGTTGACCGACTTGGGGATCACAGACCAGCCCTTCTGCAGACCCCAGGCAAGCAGTACTTGTTGGGGTGTCTTGCCCTTGGCTTTGGCAAGCTCGAGCAGAGTTTGGTCTTTGTAGAGGGGGGAGTCGGTGGAGCCGAGACAGGAATAGCCGGTGCTATGGATACCTTTCGAGGTGTTGTAGGCGACGAGCTTGGGAGAGGGGTTGTTGGGATGAAGTTCGATTTGGTTGACTGCTGGGACGATCTGTCGCGCTTTCAGTCAATATATGAAGCTTTTTTTAGATTAAAGGATGGGTAAGTTGGGGGGGGGGGGGGGGATAACGGACCTTGGTGGAAGGGTCGTTAAGCAGGATCTCCAAGTTTTTGATGCCGAAATTGGAGACGCCGATGTTCTTGACCTTGCCGGTGCCGACCAGCTTCTGCATCTCTTGCCATGTCTTGATAAAGTCCCAATCTGGCAAGTGCTTCTTCAAGTCTGTGGGGTCTGTAGAACAAGGCCAGTGCATCAAGTACAAATCGACGTAATCGGTTCCGAGGGACTTCAGAGAGGTGTCGATGCCCTCTTGGACTCGCTTATGCCATGGGTTGTCAAGCTTTGTAGTCAACCAGATGTCTCCACGTGCTACGCCAGAGTTCTTGATTCCTAAACCAACTTCGGCTTCGTTACCATAGGCGAGCTATGACCTCGTTAGATCTTGTTCATCTATTGGAAAAGTTCGGACGTGCAGCAGTGTCGATGTGCCTGTACCCCTTTCTGAGGGCAATCTCAACCGCCTTCTCAACTTCATGGGGCTTCGACTGCCATGTTCCAAGTCCGAGAGCTGGGATCTTGTCCCCGGTATTGAGGGTATATGTCTTTCTGGTAGAAAAGGATTGTGAGCTGAGTGGTCTTGCGAGTGATAGACATGAAGACACAGTTGCCAGTCTCCGCAGGCTTCTGCTTTCAAAACATGAACCGAGTTCGGCGGAGAGAAAGCGGGAGCTACTAACTGGGTGACCTTGGTGGTAGCCATCTTGAAGTACAGTGAAGTACAGATGTGTAGGAGATTTGGGAGAGGGGGAGATGTATGAAAGAGGAAGTGTGGGAAGCTGCTTGCTACTTATCCTGCTAGGAAGCCGAACCCCGTCACTACTCCAGAATTATTGGCCTACAAGAAAGGCGTCGAAATTATTGCACCGAATAACGGATCCACAGCGGAAACTCAACATCTTGCAGCATAACTACGCTTCATCGAGGAAAGGGCTGTCTATCCCACCCTCTGGGACAGCCGGTACCCTGTCGTTGGGCGGCCTGAAAACAGATCCGAAGGCGTAGTGGGGGGCGTAAGTTGAATTTGGGTCTGGCATGGATTCAGGGTACGCAAAAGGCAGATGATGCGCGCCAATGAGAGTCTCTGAGACGCAACGAGAGCCAACAAGAGCCAACATGTTCGGGGTTGACGTTGTTTGGAAAGCTCTTGACGCTGAACCCAGGGTGCTCGCAGATGCTTGTGATTCGCGCGCGTGTCAAAGACGATTGCTAATATTCGCGGGAGCATAGTTCCAGAAATTATCACATGTACGCACGTTCTTTCTATTCTGAAATTGTATCGTTTGGAATAAGTTGTCACCGACGCCGCTGATGACTTCCAGCTCCAACGACCATTGTCGAAAATCAAGAAAGCGGACAATGCGGGTGCCCCGCGCTAGGACACTTACCGTAGTAACTGCGTATCCTGCTTTTGCTCGGGCATAACCCAAGCAAGCAATTGACTGCAAGCCATTCGCGCATAACAATGTCTTCCGGCTTCATATCTGGCGGTACATCAGAAGCTCCCCTCGAGCGCAGTGATGAGTGGCTAGCCGCCCAGAAAGAAATCGAAGCGAATGCCTTGCGCAGAGCTGAGCTGGCCCGACAGCAAGACGGCAAGAGCTTGTTCGAGACGCTCGAAGCCAACAAAGGTATTTTGAGCTTGCCAGACCGGCCGTACACATCGATACTTGGGCATGGACTGATCACGCAGGGGTGCTTTGAATGTAATAGCTGCCAAACAAGAAGCATTCGAAGAAGCGAACCGACTGAAGAACCAATTCCGCGGTGTCGATGAGGACGAAGCAGAATGGCTCGACTCGGTACTTGAGAGTACGAGGGCGGAAGAGGATCGCATAAAGAGGGAGACTGCAGAGGGACTTGCACTTTTTCGCCAGCAGCAGGAGGAAGAGGATAAGAAGGCCCGGAGGAGCAGTGATGGTCTTGCTGCTGAGGAAGTAGCGCCTATAGTTGAGGAGGGTTCATGGGCTACTGGCAAGAAACGGAAGAGGACCAAAGACAAGGAAGGGCTCAAAGGTGTCAAGCTTCGAAGAGCTTCGGCGTCTGCGGGGATAAAAGAGGAACCAAAGCCAGAAAACCCAGTGGTGCAATCGAAGGGAGTTCAAAAGCCAGCGGAGTCTGCTCCTGCCCCTGCCGTTGACACGAAGAAATCGCCAGATCCTCCGAAGGTTAAGACAGGTTTAGTTAGCTATGGCTCGGATGAGGACGACGACTGGTAGAAGAGATACCTGCTCAACATGGCAGTGGAAGCATTGATAAGGCGTTCACGGTGTTGGAGGCTCAAAAAAGGCATCTGAATTTCCACTCAACTGAACGTTAGGAATAGATTTCTTAAGATTGGACATGTTGCCAGAGCTCTATGAGCCTTGGTTCGGACACACTGGGGCATCAGTATAAAGTCCTAGAATCGATCCGTCTCATACTCATTCAAGGCCTAAGCCTTCTCTGAGAGTGTAAGATGAGGTCGAGCAACATCACAATAATTGAGATGCACAAAATCTCCCAACTCTTGTGGTCCTAAGCGTTTTTTCAATCCTGTCTCATTTCAACCTCGGCTCGCTTTTTCATCGGATGAAAAAGAAGCGCGTCACAAACTCTCGCCAAAGACCAGACAAAATATCCCCATGCGCCCAACGCATTGAAATCTCGACCAGCCCTCCAATCCACATTGAAAAATGTCATCTCACGACCCCGGCTGCCCCTTCTGCAACATCGCCACATTCTATCCCCCTTCCCCTACCCCGTCCGCGAACCACGACCAAACAACGCCCTCCTCCTTCGTCGTGTTCTCAACCACCCTCTGCGTCGCCTTCCTAGACATCATGCCCCTCTCCCCGGGGCACCTCCTCATAACCACGCGCGCCCACCGCGAGAAGATCTCCGACGTCAACTCCTCGGAAGCAGCCGAGCTGGGGATCTGGGTATCGAGGCTCAGCCGCGTGATGGCAAGGGTGACGGGGGTCTGGGACTGGAACATTGTGCAGAACAACGGGGCCGCGGCGAGCCAGGTCGTGCCGCATGTGCATTACCATCTGGTGCCGCGGCCGAACCTCGATGGGGAGGCGAGGAATCGGAGTTTTACTATGTTTGGGAAGGGGCAGAGGAGTGAGCTGGATGACGGGGAGGCGGCGGAGCTGGTGGGGAAAGTGAAGGGAGAGTTGGAGAGGGAGTTGAAGAGGATTGAGAGGGAGAAGTTATAGGGTGCTGGGTACTGGATATCGGGTTGAGGTTATGGTGATTGGCAATGTCTGGTAGGGATGGGAAGCTGGGACGAGCCGATAGATTCTTAGATCTGAGGATACCCGGGGGCAGAAAGAGGTTGCTTAAGAGGCGTCATGGATGTACGATGTGTGCGGTGCCACCGGTATGGGAGTTGCAGTGTGCGAAGAGCTTGTTGGACTGGGGAGTAACATATGGGAGGGCCTCTAATGTTGGCGGATGGGCTGATGCAGCCTGGTAATCGGGAAACCATGCTAGCTGGGGCTCTTCCGTTCGAATTTTTTAAGCAAGATTTTTGTCTGATTAGGGGCACCAGCATTTAGATTTGAGACGGCAGATGGGATATTGCAAAAAGCTACTTCTTCGTTCGTTGTTGAAGCGGCTTGTATCAGATAGACTCTTTTTCAAAAGAGAGAGCAGACTGTCAACCTCATATGAACCCCATGGTCATTCATCTGCGAGGATGTTTTCCGGCGTTGATGATAATATCAACTGTTGCTTTCTGTGAAGCTATGGCAGGGACAGGTCGTCGATACCACTTGCTCGGTGCAGTGATGTTTCTGGCAGAATAAATAATGGAAGCCTGTAACAGCTACACAAAATCGCTAGGTATCCCAAGTGAGTAAGTGCTTCAACGCAAAGCTGCCTTGAATCCGTTGAAGTACCCTTTCCTGAATGGGTTCAGGTCGTCAGCGTTCACGGCGCCCTCTTGAGCTCTTTGTTCCCGAGCAGGGCCCTTTATTACCTCTGAATCTGGGATTCGGCTGTATGTGATGAGTCTTCTGGACCCTTTCAAACGAAGGTCAATTCTGTTAACGTTTCCTTGGGAAGATAACTTACATTTATTAAAAGCTTGGGTGCAAACGCTGGTGATCTCGAGGCGATGATGTTCCGGTATCTTGATCTCTTGATCTTGATCATTTGAAGTCGGCATCCAGAATGATAACCGACCGTTGTCAACCAGGGTTTGTGACGAGAATTCCAGGATATCATCCAGCATGGTCAGGAAACTGTAAGGTTTCTTCGGAGGGACATAATTTGGATCTCTGTAGAACGTCAGTTCAACGTAACAGTCACAGATAACTTTCGTCCTACAGATAATGTGCCACACCATCACGATACACGACCTCTTTCCCCTTCGAAGGATCTCTGCTACCAAGAACCTTCAATCCCTCTCTTACACCGTACGGCGGATCGCAGACGATACCATCAAATATCCTCGCATTTCTCAAAGGGGTGTTCGTAAGATCTGCAACAAAGCTGTCTCCAAATTGATCCGTAATCCCATATTGAAGGAAATTCGAACGTAAGCTTATCTCACCCTTCCCTCTGATACTCCTACCATCAATATCACTCCCAAAAGCAAGAGCACCAAAATGGGCACAAGCTACGGGGAAACTACCCGAGCCAACAAATGGATCATAGAAAATCTTTCCAGGGGCAGCCAAGGTGATGTTGGCCGTGATCAAAGCAAGCTCGGCATCCATGGAGGTAGTGCAGATGTACTTCCGCTTCTTGAGATCATATTTCAGGATCGAATCCCTGTCTGAGCCACCAAGGTGCCGTCCTAGATGGACCGCTTGTGGTTGATGCGCACTGAGATGAAGAGCTTCGAGTTGCCAGTCTTCGAAGATGCGGAACTCCTGCTCTGCACCTTTCATTCGGATGGGTCCTTCAAGCCCGATGAATTTGAAACTCTCGATTAGTTCCCTTTGTTCGGTAGTGGATCTGGACCCTTGAAAAGAGTCGATGGCGAACTTGAAAGTGGACTGTTTGTACACAGGCCAAAGATGTTGGGAGACGGTTCGTACGTTGTCATAGAGTTCTTCATAGGTAGATCCGCGTCCCCAGACTTCGTAGATAGCTTTGGCTAGAATGCTTCTCCGGACTAGTCTGATGGCCGCTTCTTCAGATGGCAACTTGACGAAGCAGTAAGGCGACTAGACAGCATGAGTATGGGAACAGAAACGTGGACTCGCGGACTCACGCTGGGACTGTACGACAGTATCTCTAGATCAATACCCTCAAGCACCGCTAAGGCTGTTATTTCTGCGAGGCGGAACGTCTCATGCGTCTGCGTAAATCTGATCATGTATTCCATTGTGAGATCTGATAGATCTCACTTTCTTCAATTGTCTGGAATTAATAGACTCTCAAAATGTTTGTGGAATTTATGGGATTGGCCATTTCCATAGAGGGATCGAAATATCTCTAGGCCTGCTCGCTAGCGTGGACCCCTGGGAAAAGAGCGCTAAAGCTCGGGCAGCTCTCGACCCAATCTTCGTCCTCAGCAACATCAACAGCCAGCAACCTACCTGCTTTAAAAATCAACTCAAAATGTTAGACTTTACTTCCGGAACGAAGCATCAACCCAAATGCGACGTCACTCATGGTGTCATGGGACATCTCGACCCGAAACAACCCCCTGTGAAGAGGAAGCCTTTCGCTTCAATTTTGGCCCAGAGATTCGTACAGAAGGTAGGGCCACTCGCACAGCTCTTAAGACTATCTTAGATTTCGCTGATATTCTTTTGAAGGTCGAACTCGTACTGCCCGAGGAGCTGTATGAGATTATCAAGAAAGATCTCTCGACGGACTTTGCCAAGCCGGTCTACAGTCGAGTTATCCTTTCGCTCAGTGCTTTGCTAGAGGGAGAATTCTTCAACGAGTACATCAAGCGAGGTATTGGTTCGAACATTACGTCTCTATTTCGAGTCTCTGACATGTCATAGGCAACGTTCTGATGCTATCAGAGGGCAGAACCGATGTGGATAATGTTTACTGTCTCAAAGAAGGTATCTTTTCATTCATACTTATAAAGTTCAATATGTTAATATTATTAGGCGTCTTGACTTTACATTTGGATAGGGAGAGCTACGAGCGAGCAGGTCTGGTGGGAAAGCCAGACGGTATCAAAGGCAAGCGTGGAACAAAGCCTCGATGGGGTATGTTGTAAATCCGGCCTTCTCCAATTTTCTACTAACGGTCGAATCAGTGGTCGAAATAGAGCTTCGTTCGCCATCGATGTTACATGGAAAAAAGGGTTTCGACAGGATTGTCTACGCGTTCAAGAATGTCCTCAAGAAACCAGTCACATGGCTATTTGTGGATCTAGGAGAAAAGAGTAGGTCGGAACTTCTTGCAATTGCAGCTATACTAATGCGTGGACTAGCAATAACACCCAGCCCGATAGAACCGCATTTTCCAATCAAGAAGACTGCCATCCCCACAGCTCAAGAGATGAAAGTCAACGTGCCTTCGCTCCTCCCACCGACAGACGTAGACAAGGCGTACGGGGCCGATTTTGAGGACTATGCTGTTGAAACTCAAGAATGGCTCTCCCTAGTCCTCCTCGGCAGCCCAAGAATAGATCCTGACGATAAGATCGACTCCGCTCTCTCCAGATATGTTCTTCCAGGAGATACTCTCACAGCATGCAAGCTGGTAAAGATCACATGGCGAGGTTTCGTATCTCCCAGCTGGGCACACAAGATGTTCGTTCAGCTGCTACTAGCCACCCCGCGAGAGGGATGGTTCGCTTATTTTGTTGATGGGTTCAGCGAAAGTTCTTTGGGAAACGGCAAGCACTGTGCGATTTTGAAGCTGCCTAATGCTCCAAACGAGTATGTCTTGTGGGATATTGCGTAGAATAGTAGGCACGATCAGCTTGTACGTTGGCGTACGTCCCTCTCTGCTCCCAGATCACCCCTCAATGCCTCTGAAATAAGATTTCGTAGCGCTTCTTGTCCTTGTTCTCCTTCGAAGTTCGGATCTGCCGCCAATTCTTCGATTCTGCGTCTGAACTCCGGGTCCACGACCTCTCCAGCATCTTCGGGCGCCATGGTGCCAAAGTCTACTGACATTCCTTCTGGCAGGGGTGGAGGTGGTTCTGAGCCAGTGATGGTAGTACCTGCAGAACCATCTGTGCCGTTGGTTTGACCTTCAAGCTCCTTTACTCGTAGGTATACCGCGACCTCAGGATATTCATTGTCCTCCGCGATTCTCTCCCTTGCGTTCTGACCATCTGCTCCAACAACTTTGATATCCGCGTTCAGCTCTTCGACCAGCACCTTCGCAGTATCCACAGTCTCTACGCCAAACAGTGCCGTCTCTCCATCCTCGTCCTTCAAGTTGACACTGACGTTGTATGTATTGATGAGAGCTCTTAGGAGATCGCGATGGCCGTATGATGCTGCTGCGTGTACGAGGGAGTAGCCGTGCTCATCTTGGGCTGACGCAACAGATGGATCTGCTTCGAGGAGTCGCATAACTTGAGCTGGGTTGTCTGCGGCTAGGACGAAGATGTTGTTTGGGCCTGTAAGGGTGGCCATGTTGAATTTGATGGGTTCTCGTAGGTAGATCGACGGTAGCGAGCTCTGTCTGCTTTGCGATAGAAGTTCCTAATCATCTAGAAGTGATGTAGTATATGCAAGAAGATGAATGTTTGTTTCTTTTTTTTATATGGATGCCCCGCCACAAGGCTGAAGAGATCTGCGGCTGGGGTTACTCCGTAGTTAGTTCAAGTTGCAACGGCCGGAAGAGAATCCCGGTCAGCTTTCCACTACTCAAATGACTCAAAAGTCGACTTTTTGTTTGGTGGAATCTTAGGGATTCGTTCTCCTTCCCTCCTGCAGTCCTGCAGTCTGACTACCTCAGGTGCCCCGGGAAGACTCTGCAACGGCCTGGACTGACTGACACAAATAGAGAGACAGACAGACAGACAGACTGTGATGCAAGAGAAAGCTACTCCCGCTCAGGCTGCTATCACCTCCCTCTTGTTATGTTGCGCCGGCTATTGACGCAACCTCTTCGACCTCTTCAATCTCACCACAGCTCGCAAAAGGTCAAATCGCTCCTCCGGTTTGTACCTCTTACTCTTTGTACTTCCAAGCACTCTGTCACCTTCAGGCCTCTCCCATCAAGAACAATCTCTTGTTTTCATAGACAATTTGCAATCATGGCCGGGCTTGGCCAAGCTCCGTACCAGGCACAAAACGTCGAGGAGAATCAGGCCTTCCTTCTCGCCCTCCAAGCTGGCCTGAAGAAAGATCCCAACGCTACCAAGAAGAACTTCAGCTGCAAGAGAACGAGCTTCCCGGTAGTCAACTCTCCAGATAAGCTTACTGTTGACTCGTGGCGTTTTCAAGATTGGGACTACAAGCGTGATGATCTCCCAACCTATGCCAGAGGTCTCTTCACTGGCAAGGATGAAAATGGACAGCCTGAGATCTCCATCAGAGGCTACGATAAGTTCTTCAATACAGATGAAGTTGCAGCCACCAGATGGAGCACCATTATGAGAGCCACGAAAGGTCCCTACGAGTTGAGTCTGAAAGAGAATGGTTGCATCCTCTTCCTGAGTGGTCTTCACGATGGCTCGTTGCTCGTCTGTAGCAAGCACTCGACTGGTCCCAGAGGTGACGCGCTCAGTCATGCTATGGCTGGCGAACAATGGGTAGATAAGCATCTTGCAGCTGTTGGCAAGACCCGACAGGAACTCTCCAAGGAGCTTCGAAGGAGAAACGTTACGGCAGTCTTCGAGCTGTGTGATGACGAGTTCGAGGAGCACATTCTTGCTTACGATAAGGCCAGTTCGGGACTGTATCTTCATGGTCTCAATGTCAATATCCCAGAATTCATGACATATCCAGGCGTTCAGGTTCAGGCTTTCGCTGAGGAATGGGGCTTCCGAAAGACCGAATTTTTGCTTTATGATGATATCAATGAGACCAAGACTTTTCTCGATCAGGTCGCTGAGACTGGCCACTACAACGGCAGAGACATTGAAGGCTTTGTTATCAGATGCAAGGCTCGCCATGGCTCTGGTCCATACACCGATTGGTTTTTCAAGTACAAGTTCGAGGAGCCATATTTGATGTACCGCCAATGGCGCGAGTGTACGAAGGCTATCATCAGCGGTAAGCCAGCTCGTTACAAAAAGCATGTCAAGATCACGGAGGAATACTTGCTCTATACTCGGAAACAACTTGCGGATAACCCTCATCTCGGCGAAGCTTATCAACAAAACCACGGCATCATAAAATTGAGAAACGACTTCTTGAAGGAAAAGAATCTCAAAGGCTCTGATATTATTCGACAGGAGTATGCTGAACTAGGAGGTGCCCCGGAGGATGTAGACAAGAACGTCATCCTGGTACCTGTTGCTACCCTAGGCTGCGGAAAGACGACAATCGCTGTTGCCCTCACACACCTCTTCAATTGGGGACACGTACAAAACGACAACATCACCGGCTCGGGCCGGCCAGCTAAATTTACGGATGCAGTTTTGAAGCAGTTGCAAGATACCCCAGTTGTCTTTGCTGATCGAAATAACGCGGAAAAGCGTGAGCGTAAGCAGATCATTGAAGACGTTCACAAAGGCCATCCCAATGTTCGACTTGTTGCACTGAACTTTGTTCATTCGCCGGAGACTCTCAAGAATATCAGATCTGTGACCCGAACCAGAGTTCTCTCTCGTGGTGATAACCATCAAACCATTCAAGCAGCCTCGAACTCACAGAAAGTCATTGGCATTATGGAAAATTTTATCCGTCGCTTCGAACCCCTCAACGCAGAGACACGCCCCGATGACGGATTCGAAGCTGTCATCGACCTTGATCCTACTGTGGACTCCCGCGAAAACTTGGAAACCGTTATTGGTCAACTGCACAATCTGTTCCCCAAACTCATCCCCGAAATGCCCTCTAGTGAAGATCTCGACGAGGGTATCAGATACTCCCTCAGCGAATATAAGCCTGAGACTCGACACACAATCGGCGATCATAGACCTAGAAATGGACAAGGCAATGACATGAACGGCACGAACCAGCAGAAGCAGAAAAATGTAAGCACTATCAAACATTTACACGACACTGTCACTGACTCGTTCTACAGCGACCACAAGCTTCGACTATCAAGAAGCAAAAGCCTCTGGAATACGTCTCAGTAAATCTATCCAAAGCTCAGATTCTTGATATCCTCGAGAGCACCTTCGCATCTGTCTCGACCAATGAAGCTCGGTTCTTCAGGAAACTCCAGGATAGTCGCCGAGTTCAGCCCGAATTCCACGTCACTCTGATACACCGTGCGTCTTCAAAAGATAACCCAGAGCTTTGGCAAAAATATAGCGATCTTCATACTCGTAGTGGTGATCCATCGAACCCGAACACTAAGATTGGCAACTGCAGGGTGTTGTTAGACAGGGTAAGATATTCTCTGTGTGTAGGTAAGTAAGCGTACGTGTTTCTCTAACTCGTGCTCAGATCCTCTGGGATGACCGTATCATGGCCATCGTTGCTAAACTCGTTGATGAGGGATGGGAGTGTACCAATCAAGTCGCTCATATAACTATTGGTACCAGAGGAAACGACGTCAAGCCAAAGGAGAGTAACGACCTTCTGAGGCGATGGATGGAGCTTGGCAGCGGTGATCATGTTGGTATTGGAGAGGCTGCCATTGTTGGTCGTCCAGTTCTCGAGGGCACCGTCAAAGGTATTCTTTCACGATAAGAAATTTGATGGGCAGTTTTCCAAAATCACAGGGCTCTATCGACGGCGTCTGTGGTCATGGTTCTGAGCAATGAAGCCTTCTTTTGGATGCCTGGAGGGAGATAGAATAGATACCAATACAAACTTGCACCTCTCAAACGTCCCGATAATAAAGATTGGAAATGTCCAGACTGGCTTCGGCCTTCACGAACCTTCCTTCTGTCAAGGTTGCATATAACTATACATCTGGGCGTAGACCATAAAAGCACGAGAACTAATTACAGACAGCATGTCCCCTGCCGGCATCGATAGACACGTTGTAAGCACGCGAGAAGAAGCTGGATACCGTCAGATCGTCCATTATAAAATACACTTCCTTCCCCCCCCCCCCCCGGGTCGTAAATCGTTTTCTCAAGTTTCAAGTATCCCAAACGCCATGGCCATGCAATGCATCATCGCTTAACTCTTGAACATTCCTCATAACCCGATTCACACATTCCATCCTCAAATCATCTGTCCAGCGATGCCCAAACCAACGACTGCCACCATGCCCGCCACGGCATAGCAGCCTTTCGCTGCAGGCTTCTGTCTCGCAGCCGCATTCCCCGTCGCGCCCGGCCCCAGCTGCGGCCCCGTCCCAAACTGGGCACAGTTCTCACTCACGATATTGTAGCAGCCCACCGAGCTCAAGCTGCTGCAGATACTCGTGGCGCTCGGCAAGCCCAAGTTCTGCACCGTGGCCGTGGCCGTGATGCCCCCGTTCGGCGCCACGATGGTCACCCCGAAGCCCACGCCACTCCCGCCACCGCCATCCAGCGCCGCGGTGCAGGCCGCGTAGTTCGTCTGGCACGCCTGGTAGGCCGAGTGGCAGGCCGCGCTGTTCGCGTACGTCCGCGGGATGTACGGGAAGGGGAAGAAGGCGTTTGCCACGTAGGACACCGCCGCCGCCGCCGCCGCCGGGTCGGTGATCGTCGCGGGGGGCCCGGCGGCGGCGGTCGTCGGACTCGGATTGCTCGCGCCGAAGACCACCCCGTCCGCCGGCGTGGTGAGGCCCAGGAGCGGCCCGGTCGGGGTGCCCGTCGCGATGGTGACGGATCCGGTACAGCTCGCGCCCGTCGGGCAGCAGGCTATGTTTTGCGCGCCGTCCGTCGTGCAGAAGGAGCCGGCGGTGCAGCAGGCGCCGCCGGCGGAGTCTCGGTACGTGGTGCAGGAGTTGAAGTCTGCGGGACAGTTGCCATCCCGCTTGCGGAGCTCGTGGCGGTGGGCGGCGGCGGATACGGACTCGTTGTTGGAGAGGAGGACGGCGTACGGTTCGTAGAAGGGGGCGATCTGGAGGGCCGATATCGGGAGCAGGAGGAGGAGAGGTGTATAGGTTCTGCAGGACCGCCGCATTCTTTGATCAGGGCAGGAGATGCGATTCAGCTTGCTTGCTTGCTTGACATCTTATCTGACTGATATTTACGGGTTTGGGCAGCCGCAGAAGAAAAAGGAATACTTACATGGTGGCTCTGGCCGCGTAAATAAAATGACTGGCCGATCCTGATACCGTGTGCGTCTTCTTCTTGTATTATTGTTTGTTTTGGATGGATCGATGGGCGAGATCAGAAGGGCTTCTCCCAGACGCTGGACTGATCAATCTGGCTTGGAAACAAGTTTCTCCCTGTCGTGCTGCATCCGCGGGCGGCGTGAGATCTCGCTCGGTGTTGACTTTACTTTCGCATGCATAATGGCACAGCAACCAATTGGCGGCGTTATGTGGAGAAACAGGGGGCTCTCCTCACGCCTCTTCGTGTACGCTTCTCAACGTCATGTCATAATTTGGAGGGCTTGAATGTGAGATCGGTCAAAGTAATAAGGCCACAAACATGGTGGTAATCTTTCGTCGTAATGCTCCTTGGAGATCTAAAAACCACCCCGGGAAACCTAGCAAGATACGGTAAGTTGTTCATCAAGACGTAAATCGTCGGCTCGCTTAGAAGGGCCTCCCTCCTATCATCCTTGCAGTCTGATTAAGATAGTTTCGATTCTACAAGAGTGTGTTACTTCTGCCAGAGTAAGACAAGATCTCGCATTTGAATGATGCACGAGGCATTGTCATAAAATGACTTGAATGAAAATCATTTCATGGCCGAGCGACACGTTGCTGCCATCATAGTTGTACCCGCTTCCATAACGCCTCAGAGCATGCCACAATATCCCTTGTAAATCGGCAAGCAATCAGCATCTAGCAAGTAATCAATCACACCTCCCAAAGTCTCTCTCTGCCCTCATGCCAAACAAATCCAGCCGAGTCGACGAGAACCAGAAAACCCAACCGGTTACAATGCGTGGCTTAAATCTTCGCGATTCGAGTCTGCTGATGATGAGCTGCCAGGAGAGAAGGCTGGGCCGGCGCGTCTGTCATCTTGAATTTGAGTCGATGCAGCCCGGTCTGGTCTCATTCCTGAGCTGCTCCCCAGCTCGTTGCCCAATTGATAATTTATTTAAGAGCGGAAGACAGGAACGAAGATCAAAGAGTCAAGAGATCATATTCTATAAGTTGGAAGTCATGTTCCAGAATCAACTCTCACGCGGAAGGGAAACCTGTATGATGTACTGGCTTCATTATTGCTTGCTAATGTACAGGTTCAGCAATTTTTCCTTGTTCTTCTATCTAACTCCGAGGAGCAACGCACCTAAGGTGGTTGCAGGACCCAGGAAGGATGCCTATTTAATTTTTATTTTTTGGAAACCCCCATCAATCGCGTGTAGGCCTTTTGAGGGACGAAAAGGCATTACGCCTAAATGCCTGGACTTTTGGGCGGTAAAGGACGGGCTATGCAGGAATATCAACAAGTAAGCAAACAAAAACGAATGAAAAAGCAATCCACGTTCGCACCCTCCTCGAAAGAGAGTGGACAGGTTCGAAGATACCGAGAGATCTCTAACCTTCTGAGAGCTCCTTAAAAACGCCGTGGTACCGTCAAACAAAACTCGTAAATGCAATCAATGTCGAGTGGCCCAAACCAAGAGCCGACCTGAAAGCAGAAAATCTGAGCGAGACCTGGTTGTGTCGTAACACCAGAAGATAGCTAGCTATCCTAAGCGGGAGAGCTAAAGGATCCATGTGGGCGCAATCCAGATGCCAAGAGTGTGGGGCCGAAAGTGTTCATCAAAGATTCAAAGAATGGATTCGATCAGGAATCAGCCTTGGCATGGGGTGCTCGATCGAGTTCATCCTTCAGCTTCTTGTCGACCAGATTGCCAATCTTCTTTCGGCTCTTCATGTCTAGGGCTCCATCGCGCCAAGCTATGCGGAGTCTCTCCAGTGCTGGTCGGGGACCTGCGACATCCTCGCTCTTCACCAACTCGACATAATGCAAGGCAAGTACATCAGGGATAACCTTCCTCTTGCTACTGAGGATCTCGGAGTAGTAGCTGATGAGACTGTTGGTTCCGTCCATAGCGTTTTGTTGAGCATCCTCGAAGGCATACTGTCTGAACTCGGTGTACATCTTGGCGTTGAAGTTTCTGCACAAGAAATGTGACCAGAATTCATAAAGAAGTTTCATGTCTGGATGAGTCTCACCAGGGGTGGAGTTCTCTCGATGGTTCAAGGCACGGGAGCGAAAGGTGGTGTATAGCTCCTCAGAGTTACCAGGCGAAACGAACGACTGTTGTCCCTGGCCCTTCACCCACATGACTGGAAGTCCGTTGCCGGAGGTGGACTGGGTGGGCGACAGAGGAGTAAAAGGGCTTCTTGAACGCCGGAGACTCTCGGGGGATCTTTTGGCATAAATTAGCATGCTGAAAGGACACGATTCTCAGGACTAGTCTTACGTTTCTGAGGTATGTGAGCCATTAGTCAAAGTCCGACCCTGGCGTTGGTCATCAAAGAGTTCCTCAACGATCGATCTCCCATCGATGGAGCCGTTAGAGAAGGTTCTGGCGGGAGCACCATTGAAGGGCGACTTGAGCTTTGAGTCCTCGCTGCCTTTGGGAGTTTTGAAAACGAGAGTCAGCTTGGCAACCTCGTCGTCGTTGAATGTTGTTGCGGCTTCAAGGGGATCCTGAAGGCCACTGAGGGATAGCAGTCCTGGTGCAAAGTCTGGTACAGCAGCCGATAGAGGAGTCTCGGGGTAGTAGGCGCTACCATTGCCATTAGAGACGGGGCCTGCACCATTTTGTTGATAGCGTAAACTGGCCTCGGTACCGTTCGGCGAGAAGGCGCCAGGCGACATGATATGTTGGTTTGGCATACCCATTGATCCCGCATGCTGGGAATTTGGAGATTGAGGGGAGCGGTGCTGAACACTGGAAGGACCGGCGTTTCTCACCGATTCATCACGTTCATCCATCGGCACAACGAACTTCTCCCAGCCTTCTCTTCTCCGCAATCGATCGTGGCCATCATCACCTCTGACCAGCTCAATGATGTCCGACTCATGGCAAGCAAATCGTAAAAGCTCGAACTCGTGGGTCAAGGCTTGGATGCGCTTGAAGCCGGCGATGAAAGCCAGGAACACGAAACCTTGGGAGTCCATATGCCTTCGCAAGAAGACGTCCTTGCAAAGGTTGTCGATAGAGAAATAGTATTCCAGCTGCATCGAGACCATTGCAAGCACAGATACTTGGTCCATATAAGGTTGGTAGGGTGTAGCACTCATGGGTCCTTGCATATGTTGGTATTCATACACTTGGTTGGACGTCTGAAGTGGTGGCATGTGCTGGGAAACACCGTTGGGAGGGTATCGTCCGTACATGCCGTTGTTGGGAATGGACTGGGATCGATTTCCTCGACCGCCTCTTGGAGGTGGTGGCGCATACTGGTTGCCGAATGGAATTGACTGGAGTGGAGGACTATATGGACCAGAGCTCTGACGACCTGGGTACCCATTTGGTGCTCCATGGCCGTTGGCGAAGACATTCTGGGGGTGAGGCTGGCCGTTCGTGTAGCCAGCATGGGCTACTCTGCCACGGAAGCCTCCACGGCCTCGGGCATCATTCCGATCACGATTTTGATGAGTGCTGTCTTTGCCAAAAGGATTCTCCTTGAACTGCTCAGATCCCTTCTGCTCGCCTTTGCGACCATTACCTGCACTCGGATGTGCCTGGTTGTCAAGAACGCTTCCTTGCATCTGGTCCTGTTTCAAATGCTTGTTGGTTTCACCTGGAAGAAGCCGTTGCTCCTGGTTGGGCTCAAACTGGTTTGGCTGGCCGGGTTGAGGGGCATATTGAATGCCAGGGTGGGAGACATGCTCAGTCTTCAGTGGACCAGATTTAATCTTATCTCCAGCCTGTGCCAATGAAGCCTTTCGCGCCATGGTGGACTCATTGGGGGTTCGGCTCTTGGTTGTGGGAGGAACAGAGCTCGATCTCGCATCTCCATCTGCTGACGCAGACCCATTCTGGGGCTTCTCTCCCGCACCGTTTGTTACATGACTCGAACGTCCACCAGCCTCTGTTCGGCCGCCACGAGCTCCACCACGCCCTCGACCACCTCTAGTTGGCAGTGGGGTGTTGAATGTGACTGATGGGATGTAAGGAACATGAACCCACTTCTCCTTGGTGCGTGGCTTGTTGGGGGCGTTCTCCTCCTTGTCGTCCTTGTCTACCTTCTCCTGGGCCTTCCGCTTCTCCTCCTCGACAGCCGTCTCGGGAGTTGGCCACGACATGGCATCCTCCACAGGTGGGGGCAGTTGACTTGCCACTGGCCTCTCATCTTTCTCAGCTGCTCTGCTACCTCGAGGACCTGAACGCTTAGGGGTATCGTCCTTCTTGCTCACAACCTCGCTCCCCTTCTTCTGGGCCTTGCTCGAGATTTGTGCATCTTTGCCCGCGCCGACCTGAGCTGGAGACAGCATCTTATCGGCCTCTTCAGCCACCACTGACTTGGCCCGCTTCTTATTATCAATAGACTTGGTGTTTGGTGTAGAATTAAGCTCATTAGAGCCTTCCAGGCCTTGCCTAGTCACAGAATTCGGCTTCGACTTGGCCGCGTCTTCCTTTCGTTGTTGCCAGAAGTTCACGGTCGGTAAGGGGGCAGGGACGAAGACTTCGGGTTTCACTTCCTCTTTCTCCTTTTCCTTTTCCTTTTCCTTCTCGCCATCCTTCTCGGTGGGCTTCTTTTCCTTCTTACCCTTCTTGCCTCTACGCCCCTCGCCGTCGGCATGTCTCTCCCCCGCACCATGAGAATGTCGATCACGATTTGACTCGGATCCCCCGACCAGAGTGAAGTCGTCTTCCTTGTCCTCCTTCGGTAGCGTTGAAGTCGAGGCTGTGCCGAAACTTGGCGAAGTGGCTGGAGAGCCGGCTTTCATAGTCTTGACGTCTGGATTCCTGCTCGAGTCTGGAATCTCACCCTTACTCAAGGTCTCGTAGCTCCCATTGACACTCCGATCGCCTCCCTCCGAGCCGACAGAAGGCGTATCAATTGTAGAGCCCGACTCCTTGGCTGGTGGGGTGTTGCCGGAAACGGCTGCTTGGTGTGACTGCATGGCGGAAGCTGTTGTAGCAGCGGCGCGGCCTTTGGCAGCTTGTGCGTATGAAAAGACCGGTGGAGCCGGAGCGGCTTCGCCGTTCGGTTTGGACGTGGTGGAACTCATTGCGAGACACACGAGAGATGTCAATTGAGAGACCTCGGTATGCTTCGTAAATACAGATCGGTTGGTTTTCACCAACTACACCAATATCTCAGCACTGAAGGCGATTCACAATCACCTCAGATCTGGATGTCCGGAGAGGCTTGTATGACCTCTCCGCACGACTTCCCCACTGCGCCGGTATCGCCGGCTGGAGACCGCGGTGGGTGTAGGAGAGACAGAACAATAATCTCGACTTCGAGTTCCGATAGTGCCGATCGAGTAGAGGGGTACCTTCGTGTAGATCTGTGATATCGACCGTTTGCTGGCCCCAGGAATCTGTCTCCAAGAATATTCCGCAAGGGAGTCTGGGTATCAAGGATTTGATAGAGAGCGTCGCAGGTCGACTGGTCAGCCCGTGTAGGGGTGAGGAGGTTGTTGGTTGGATGACGCGCACGTTGCTGGCAGAGACCACAAGACGACACGATTTCTGCAATAAAATCGGATGTCAGCTCAATGCTCTAGCGTATGATGAATGTTTTTGTAAGTGGGGCAATGTGTTCTGGTCCGGAGATGAGGGAGTGAGGGAGCGAGGGAGTAAATGGCCGCTCTGCTGCGCGAATAACCGGGCAGGAAACGCACACAAGCTCTTCAAATGTCGCAGAAAGCCGGCGACGATCCCAGAAGGCGCCGGTACAGGCAGTCAGGTCGCTTTGAAATGCTTCGTGGTGCCTGGAGGTGGAAGGCGAACAGGTCGGCAACGCAGCAGGAATCTGTCTCAAGCGTTTGATACAGGTACCACACTGACTACCACCGGCAGACCACAAAGCAGTGAGTGACACGCGCGAGAGGGTTGGATAGGATGGGTGGGGTACGGTATCTCAAAGACGAGAATGCGAGCGGATCCAAGAGAGGGCCGATAGACTGAAGAGACCGCGTACCTCGAAATGTTGTTGTCGTGTGGAGGGGAGAGAGTTGAAGAGTTGAGCAATGTGGTGGGAGGGGGCGGGTTTAGGGCAAGATTTTTTTTTTGGAGGAGCTTCTTTGGAGGACCACACACTAGCGTTCCCTTCGCTGCTCACTACCCAACTAAGGCCTCCTTCCTACGTGTTTCTGTCACGCTTTTGTTTCATTGACCTTGGACATTTTCATTTTAATTCAAATTAATCACAGTAGACTAGGTACTGGTAGCAGTTGTAAGCAATGTAGGCAAACATTTCGCTTTCACTTTGCAGCGGCTAGGTAGAGTGTCGTACCGGTACTTCACATGGACGGGCACATGGGATGGATGATAGCTATGTTAGGTACCGGTACCTACCTAACTCGTATCCTCAGATTCCTTTAAGATTCCTGCTCCTCCCAGCCGGCGAGATGGGGCTCCGACTGTGTTCCCAATTATTCTACTTTATGACTTTCTGCCTCCTTCCGGGCCATGACCCGCTGAAACGTGCGCCCGAAGCTTTTTGGTCCGACACGCATTTTCCGGTACTCCGCAGTATTGTAATCAAGACAACAAGTAGATGAATTTACGCACGTACCGACCGGTCTACTCCCACTTGCGGGGGCCTCCGTCACGAGAGCTCCAGCGAAGCGGATGCTACCAAGTATAAGTCACACGATGGATGGATGGTAAACATACCTGACGCTGTAGCTGACGCTCTTGAGGAATCTTCATACCTCTTTCTTTCAGTCTCGACTGGGGCTACAAGCGGCTTTTGGGAAGAATTTGTAAATGTGCAATCGGGGTACGGCAGGTGGCTGGCCGGCATCTGAGCCGCATACAATTCACGACAGGCAGGCAAGGGCAAGGAAGGAATGGGAGTGGGTCTTCGGATCTTGGGCCATATTTTGACATGGTGACATTCAGAGAGCTCCGGTCCAGGACATAGTCCTGAAGTTGTGTCTCCTTTGTAGAGGTAAACAGCGTGTCATTGACCGGCAAACTTGCCACCTCTCTCCCCTCTACACAAGTATGTTTTGTTGCGGCAGAGCAGTTCCTCCTCCTATCGAGGACCTGGAATCAAGGCAGCCTTAAATAGCTTCCCTTAAATCGCAGCTACCAACACGTTCCCGCCCGCTCGAGTTGCACATTCTCACGAGACTGCCAAAAGGTCTCAGAGGAATGATGTGCATTCACTTTGCGTCTAAATGGTGCGATACAGCCGTCGCAACTTGCTGGTACCATCGTTCGTTCACCTCCGCCTCACCCGGTCATCCAAGCTGCAGCTCTTGAAGCACCAAAGTTCGTTGCAAGTCGTAATCTGTTTGAGGATCAGCGCCTAGAAAACTCTCCCAGCAGGGGCCCTGCCAAGATATTGGCCACCACCTTGAACGACGCAGAACATTGGGAAGAGTCTTACCCGCTAGAACCCATTGGAAAATAGCTAACCAGGTACCACACCAAGCATGCTAGTTGTATCAAGGCTGAGATCAGGGTGAGGATCGTGCTTTGGAGCTGTTCATGCTTTGGCTTAGCAACAGACAAACTATCCCCGCATTGGGAGGGAGCTTACACCGAGACTGAAATACAAAGTGAGGGCTATGGACCCAAAGTAAGCCGCAGTAAACGGGAGGCGTTGTGAGGACATCAAGTGCGAAGCGTATGCCCAGGGGCCCATCATCGCTGCCCACGACGCAAGAAACAAGGCCGATCCTAAAGACCATCTGGTGTCACAAGATCGAATCAGTGTCTGAGACATCAAGATAATCCTGGATTATGATGGTTGAAGAGATGAGAGGCATATTCCCCCCCCCC